AAACTGAGATACATTTTCTACCTCAGAGGCCCGCCTGGAGAAGAATCTGGTAGCCACATTCCTGTTGGTGCTGAAGCATTTTCTGCAGAGACACCCAATCAACCAGGAGAATCTGCTGTACTTACATGGCATCGGGACACTGGGAGCCCTGCTACAGAAGGTCTTGGTTTAAGCATGATTTTGCATATGGCTAATTTGGGTGGATACATATTTACAATTAAATATAAAACCAAGTTCATTCTGCAAATTGTGACTTTCTGTATTTACAGTTTTGTTTTGTTTTTTCTACACTTGGCTCTGTGTGATGTCAGAGAGAGGATATGCCTAATATGGTCATCTCAGGCACGCATGTCTGTCAGTGAGCACAGAAGCTCCACTCACCTGCAGTTTAAGCGTTTAAGCCTGTTTATGAGGGGCAGCCAATCAGGTGGGCTGGACCAAGGTTCAGATAAATAAGGAATATTTAGAATCTCTTGTCCAAGAAAACATCCAAAGATAAAAACAAACAAACAAACATATGGAGCTTGAAATGAGCAGAATAGCCTCCCTTTAAAGAATGTCAAATTTTCTGATTTTGGTGAAAGTAAATGCATTTCATCTTATGTTAGGTTTGAGCATATCCTGTCAGCATTCCCTTTAGTATAGAGGGATGTTTTAATAGTATTTTTGGTGCAAAGCATCCATTAGATTTTATTTCAGGCAGTACATTAATTAAACTAGGCTGTGCCCAGTGACCATGAGCCTCTTTTGTTTTTCATCCTATTCAGTATGGATTAGTTTGACTCTAAGAGCTTACAGCTGAGGAATTCAGACTGTCTGGCTGACATCATTTGATTTCTGATACAAAGGACCACGTATTCTTTATAATTATTTCACCTCAGATCCTTTTTGTCCCTGTCTGTTGCTTCGTTTGTGTTTGTTCCTTGTCTGTGTTTTTGTCCTTTTGTTTGCCCCTTCGTGTGCTGGTTCTTTAATCTTCAGCTTTCCAATCCAAACCCTCCTTTTCCTCCTCAGTCTTTTGTCATGTGCAAGTCCCTCTCTATTTATTTACTTAGCAAGGAGACTGAGTCAGCATTTACACCAATGGAAAATAAAAGCCTCCACAGAGACCGAGATAAAATGAAAGTGTCTTAGATGTGGTAACAGTTGCTCTAGGCGATGTAACCACACCCTTTAAATGGTATTCAAATAATCCACTAATATGCTTACTTCTTCCCTTATCTGTTTATGGGTACTGAGTTATGGGTGTCACATGGCTTTATAGTGACCTGATAACAAGCTTCTCTTTGTTTCTTAAAAGGTGCATTTTCATATCATACGTGTAGTCAACTGTACTGTGTTTCCTCTGCGTGTCATCATTTTTCATGGGTGTCTGAACATGTTTGTGTTTGAGTTAATAGTTACGTTTGTGTGTGTTTAGCTGCCAGCTGGGCATGTTGGCGTCAGCGTGCTGGTTGCTGTGCAGCTCCTGATAGAACAAGTGACATATGAGAAGAATCAAGCTCTGCTGCAGCAGCTTCACACTCATCTGCTGTTCAATTTCAACATCTGGAACAAAGGGGACTTCCCGCTACGCATAGGTTAGATCTATACGTTTGTATTTGTGTGCCTTTGATAATTGTTTCAATACACATGATTTTACAGTTTCTCGTCTACACAACAAGGTATTTAATACCAGGGTCACAAACGCAGCTACTCCACATTTGATTCATGCGCTGTTCATGTCCTGTAACTCTGAGCCAGACTAAGGAAGCAGAGCCAAGCTCAGCTAACAATCCAGGCACATTAGCTGATTGTTCAGCTATTGCATGTCATATTCTTCCTATTTAAGGAACTTTAACTTTAACTTGCATGCAGTTGCTGCTGCCTCTGCAAGCTACTTTGCAACACACCTCAACCCTAGACTTTCCATTTCATACCATTTCTGGCGTAATCAATACATTTTTCCATGCACAGACTTTACTTGTATTGGCAGACACAAATATATATATTTTTCTTTGCTTCATTATTGTCAGGTAGCCTTACTGCTGCTGTCTGTCTTTTGGCTTTCAATATTTGCATCGGGAACACAAGCTTCACACTTTATCTTCAGTAGTTTAGCCTTCATTGGTCTGGCTGTTTTGACTAAAGAAGCTCTGACAGAATTGTCAGTCATATTCCTTTCAGATTAGAGTTGAAATTGTGTATAAAAGTGTATGTTTGTTTATTTTTGTTTGGTTGTTTTTTGTCTTCTGCAGAACTCATATTTTGAGTCTCATAAAATGTTTGAGATTTGATACTCATAGCAACAGATGATATCAGCAGTGTCCAGTGAAATAAGATCTTATGTGAAAGTTAAACACTGATGAAAATGCATTAAAGATGTAAAACAGTGGGTCTTCAGAGTTTATGCTCCTTAATGAGACAGATCTTGTGCTCTTTATTTGTAATGCAGGTCATATCCAGTACATGTCCACTGTCATCAAAGACAACAGAAAGCAGTTCCGGAAGAAATATGGAGTTCAGTTTCTGGTGGACACCATACGCCTCTATTATGGGTAAGACTCCAGTGGGGGGTGGGTGGGGATCTGTTTGCCAGGCTTTGAACTGATTGTCATTTCTTCCATATTTTAGGAAGAACACTAACAAAGACAGTGACTTGAGCGAGGATGACGTTCGGACCATCCGCGCATCTCTGTGCAGCCTCATCAAGTACTATATTAGTAAGGGCATGTCGCAGGAGGAGATGCAGAGCATTCTGGGATACATCGCTGCCATTGGAGACGAAGATCAGGTTAGATTTAGGATTTTATAGTTGAGGTCCAGTTTTAGCATAAACCTGAGAAACATCAGAGGAAGCAGAGAGGAACTGCTTCCCTGAAATCTCAAAATATATATATTTTTTATTTTTTATTTTTTTAAGGAAATTGCTTCTTTTTCTCTGCCTGGTTGTTTTGCTGTACTAAATCATTCAGCTTAATAGGATTGTCCTCAGGAAAAACCAATACCCCACTCCACCCCCAAAAATATGGAAACCTCACTGTGGGAGTACTGCATCCACCAAGAACAGAAGGTTAATCCTTTCTCAGCCTTACAGTGAGCCAGTCAGCAGTTTTGTTGGATCATAAAGACTGAAATATATCAGGTCAGCATCTTAAGAAATTTGGAGTAGGTCATGTTATTATTAGCGTCTGCTTGCCAGGTGACCTATAAATTGTGAAACTGGATAATCCCAACAATGTGCCATTTAGAGGATTTCAGTGTGAAATGAGAGGAGCTTCCACTGCAGGATTTGGTGTTTCCCAATGAGACCAAAGTGCAGGGATGCCTGCACAGGAAGCTCTACGCTCGTTTCCCACCTGGCAGCTGTTCTGCCGGCCTCTCTCTTTCTCTCTGCATTATTTTTAAACATTTTCCTCTCAGTCAGCATTACCCATCAGCAGCTGTTAGCTGACCCTGACATTGACCGTTTTCCTTTATGACTCTCGGCAGATAACCCTTTCACTGGACTTGTTTACTGTCAACAGTTTGGTGATTTCCATTTACCGTTCTCGTCAAACCTCCTCCTCTCCCCCAATTTTTGAGTCCCACTTCATTTAAGAAAACTTAAGAAGCTGTATGTGGAAGGTTACATCACCTCCTGTGAGCATATGGTCAACATAATCAGATGATCCAGGCATCTGCTCCCTCACTTTCTTATTTATGTCGCACTTAATTAATTTTTTCTGTGAACATTTAGATTTTTTTAAAGAGTATGTCTAAAGATAGTCCTCAGTGAAATCAAAACCCAGCTAAAAGCAGGCTTAAAAAGTGTTGTTGGGTATGTAGTATAGTTTATAGCAGATAGCTTTGCTACCAATGTGAAACAGCAAAGGTTCATTTAAAGCAGAAATGAAACGTATCTAAACCAGCAGATGATATGAAAATTGAAAGTATAGTACAAAGTCTTTACTGGAAGATGTGATGGGTGAACTGTGGTCGTTTGTTTTGCAGCTGTGTGCTCTGCTGGAGTTGTTGCTGAGCCTTCTGCAGAGCAGCCCAGCCAGAGACCAGCTCTTCCTGCTCCTCTTTGAGCCCGCAGCGGCCGACTCCTGCTATGCTCTCCTCCTCAATAACAAACACTCAGATCGACTCCGAGAACTTGTCTTTAAGGTAGGTGACAGAAGCCTCATTAAAGCCATCTCAGTGTCTTAGCATAGATTCACAGTCATCAGTGTTGATTGTAACTTAATATAGTTAGGTGTTTCTAAATAGAAATAATGCATCATGGTGATAAGAAAGGCAAACTTTGAAATTTGCTGTTTTATATTAAATAATAAGGTGAGAAATGGATCATATATAAAGATAAACTAATATCAGTGTCAGACATCAGCTGATGCACGCTAGCACTGACATCAGTGATCTGCCAGGTTTGTGAGGTTTACTTTAGCCTTGGCCTTCCTGATCTGATCCTGTGCTCTGTTTTGTCTTGGAAAACACTCATGCACATTTTTGCGTGTACATGCTGTTTGTGCATGTAGCTGCCATGCTTGTTAATGTGACATTCTGAGAATTCACCAGTACTACCGAAGAGGAATATCCTACATCCGTTACAGCACAGTTACTTTAAAAATGTTCAGAATCATTGATTTGTGTGATTCTCTTCCGCTTCTTGCAGTTGTTTGAGCGAATGTTGCGCTGCGACCGGGTCTATGAGAAAAATAAGCAGCGGCTGCGGCTGAGGGAGGCGGGTTACTCTGGTCTGTCGCTGCTCTTCTCTGAACTTCACATCACTCCCACCCTGATCCGCTGTCTCCTTAACCAAGTCCTCCATACAGGTCAGAGCTTGCTTCAGTGCATTTTAAAAATTTGTGCTTTTTTTTTTCTTTAGTAAGAAAACAAGTACACATACAGGAACATAAAGGATTGGCATAATGCATAACTTGGTTATTCTTTAAAAACAAAAGCACTGTGGATTATACTTTTACGCTGATAACACACTGGTGCTAAAGGCAAAAAGCATTTATATGGAGACAGGTAAAGATTACTTTGGACAGATTGGTGGGGTACAGGCTATACATTTCGGTCACTGAGGGGAAATAACACATTAGCACTTCAATGAACCAACCAATACTGAATATACTTGGATCAATGTAAAAGCATATGTGTCTACAATCTGCAGATCAAGTGGTAAACTACAAGGACCTGATGGCTTTGGTCCAGCTCACTCACCGGGCCGGACCCAGCGTGCGACTCATCGTCTGCAAGAGGGTGAGGGAACACCTGCACTTAAACCTGCTGCACTCACACCATTCATCATATTTATTAGCAAATTAGCACACAGGAAATGACTCCTGCAATCAATGCACAGTATCTAATCCTTTGCACAATATTTTCTGTTTCCTTTTTCTGTTTCTCTTCATACGTTATTTCCTTTTTATTTATTGAAGTGATAATAATAATGCGTGTCCTCAGTTTAAGCCTGGAAAATTCCAGCACCCACTGCCACTATTTTCGCCTCCTCCACACATTTAGATCAGTGCATTATACTCACATCCATGTGAAAACAGCAGCAGCAGAGAGAATACAGTGATGAATGATTTAGTCTAAAATAATTATTGAACATTAGTAGATCAATAACATATGAACAGCTGAGAGTAAACAGTTATAACTTCTTTAGTTGCCCTGCTGTTACAGGCAGTGATAAAACATGGTGTATGATCTCTGTATAGCAAGTACACACATTAAACAAATCTCGAGCGTTGCCTTCTTTCATCTGCAAAATCTAAGTGCATGCATTTGTGACTTCCAGCCTGGACTATTGA